AATGAAGATTTCCTTCTGTCAGGCATAGGGTGACCAGACATCCCATGTAGTTTGCCCCAGTGTCCTGAGAAAAGTTCTCAAGATGCACAAACCATCCTAGTTTTATGATGAAGATATGAAACTGTCACTCACATCAATTCACGAGTGGATTTAACTTGCTTAATCTTATAACATGTACTTTCCTGCTGCCAAACTCAAAAGTTCCACCTGTGCATGGTGAGAAACCTAAGCCTGTGCAAAATGTTTTAGTTAGTAGTACTTTAGTAGACTTTTTTGCAGTTGGTGAATATAAAGTAGTTTAAAATATTTCAAAAAACAATGCCAATTTTAATATAGTTGGAAATAGTGTGGAACAGTTCAATAAATTTCAAGTAAATTAAACAAAAGTTAAATTATCTCAAATTTGTAATAACCATTTTGAAATTAGAGGCAAGGACTGGGCTGTCCCAGTTTTTTGGTTTGGAAATCTGGACACTCACATCAGGCAAAGAGCCAACACAGTTCATAATATGCACAATTCAGTTTTGGAAAGTAGCATAACCATGGTTGAAAATGGTATGATTGTAGAAATGTACAGAGAATCATTTCTTTTTGTCTGCATTAGGGGGAAATTGGCCCTTTGGTTTGCAGGATTTGAGTTCTTGGTGTTTGTACCTTCAGTATCAACACAGAAATCAATCCTACAAGTCATACATCTGTTAACAACAATGGCTTCACCACATTCTTTTTCATGTGGCAGCACAATCATATTTTCAAGTTTAGGTTTATAAAAAGCATTAGAAAGGCCAAAGCACTACACGTATGTAGCTCAATTTTCATGTGAAGTTTTTGTGGTTCTTAAATTAATTCTCCTTCTTACTTAGTTGCCAATGTCTTAAACAGATTTTTTATTTTCATTTTGAGTACTTTCAAAAGTATTATTTTTAGAAGTTATATTTTATCTCAAGTTTTTTTTTTCATTTTGATGCTCCACTTGTACTAAAAGGAAAATTCCAAACTAGTACACTTAACTTTAGATACAAGTGAAATTAAGATCAGAAATGATTCAAGTGACTCAGTAATAAGCTCCATCGCTTATAATGCTGAAATTCACGGGTTAATTCCCGTGGAAGACATACTAAAGATAACTCATTCTATAGCTTTGCACTAAAGTAAATAAATCAGAACTTACTACAATGTGTAATACATGCATACTTAAAACACCAATTCAATAATTAGTTAAATAATATATCCAATTATATATCTTCTTATTTTAATCACACATTTTATTTAATAACATATTCACTTTGTCATGAAAGTTCTCTGCTGATACTTGGAAATCAAGATCCAAAGAAAAGTAATAAAAATGTTGGAAGGTTCATGAGAATTTGTTTGGTGTAATGGCCTGCTATTGAGGAAGATTAATTCTTTAAAACTTATCACATCAAATGAATAAAATATTCAGCTCTAAATTATGATATTATACTAAAACTAGACAACCCGTGACCTGTTGGGTCACCCACTATTCAGAGGTTATGAAGAATTCAAGCTAATTTCAATCTTACACCGAAATGAAAGTTTATTTTGAGATAATGTAATTAAATATTTCAATCCATTCATGTTATTCATAATTCAAGAAAAGATATTTGATTGTTGATTGGGAGTAAAAGTAAAGACCATTTCGTTTTTCAAAAAAGTGAAGTCAGAGTTTTCAGG